TTGGAGAGAGAGGCTAAAATGTTCACACTGGATTATTTCACAGGTGGCTTGGGTATGTGTATTGAGACCCTGATTCTGTTTCTCTCAAAATGGCACAAGTCCAGAGTAACTCTGCTGATGTTAAGTGGCGTTACATCCATTGAGAGGGGAAACCTTCTCTTTGGCCTGGCTTTTGAAGCTACTGACCAACCGGTACTTCCTATTGGAAAAATTATGTATAAAGTTCTCCGGACACAGGTAACTCTCTTCACTGTGCTTCCTATGTAACATGTCCTTGATTGTCTCGCTTCCAAAAAGAAATAAATCAGTCATATTTAAATGCTGTTCCCCAACACTAACGCTCCTCATGGCTGGTTCACATGGTGAGGAAGATGCTCTCTCGCTTTCTAACTGCATTCAAGCTGCAGCAGCCCAAAGATGGGTTGACAAAATACTTATTGGTCTCTTCTGAATGTTAAATACAACTGAAGGCTTCATTCAAGTTGCTCAGCCAATAGCCTTGTTAATCTAGGTAAAGCCCCTGATGGCAGTAACCAAAATGGCTGTGATCCTGAGATGCGCTGCTTGGACGAAGAGCAGCTCAGCATTACTAGATCTTGAATGTGGAGGGAGGTCTACCTTTTCACATCCACCTAGATTTGAACCACAGCTGCTACACTTGGTCCACCAAAAAAATGCTCTAATTGAAAATATCCTATCATTGTGTGACTGACTAACTCTCTGAGTGGCAGTGCTGGTCCACAATGCATGTTCTTGAAGTTGAACAAAGGAGCTTGAATCCACAAACCTGCCTGGCCTGTTGCAGAGGTACGTTCTGATGTCTGGATGATGTTGATGTCAAAAAGCTCAGCTTGGGGCTTGTATGTATATTGTGTTAATGTAGCTAACCTAATATAACTGTCGGAGAGTGGCTCCCCTTCTAATTAAGAAGTCCTTCCTTTTGTTGTCAGTGGAACTGGAGATCAGTCATGGCTGAAGTTGCCAAGTAGTTATTAAGCATTTCCCTCCTGAGTTGAAGATACTAGCTTAGTAGCTTTCTATTGCTGGCCATTCACTGCTGTTCTCAGGCTTTGTCTCGCCATCCTATGGCTCAGTGCAACATAAAGCATCAAGTATGCATAGAGTAGTTCAGAAGTGCCTAAGAAAGCTACTGAGGGTTGTTCTCTGAGTCTCTTGGTTGCTTTTGAAGATTCCTCATATATTTATACAAAATAAAGTAACAACCAAGAGGACCAGTGCTAGGCATACCCCAGTCACATGACTTCTGTCCTTTCTTGCCTGTCCCCCTGCCCTCTTTGTGCGTTTTGTCTAGTTCATAAACCCTGCTATGAAGCAACATAGTTCTCTTTACATCTGTAGCACTCTGCCCGTACACTAGAATGCCACCCTGTAACAATGCTGACAAAACAAAATTTTGCAAGGGAAGAAAGAATTAAAACAGGCCACGAGGGACAAATGAGAAAACATCACAAAAATATCTAAGAGTGGTGTTTTCATCAGATCAATGTTGCAAGATCTTGGGCATTTTTATGATCCAAACTTTTTTTTTTTTGGATTGATAATGTTTTGAAACACACAGTGCACATGTTGCATTCTCCTGTAAGGACACAGTTGCCCACAACTAGAACCTCATTCATTAATAGCACTTGCATGTCACTACAATTCACAGAAATGGGTTTTAATGGATCAGTTCTCATTCACATGTCTGCTTAACACTTTTGCTGTACGGCTAACCAAAAAGAGACATGCCACTTTGCAAAAGGGAAGATGGATGGTCCCTCTTGTGTGTGTGAAAGGAGCATAGAAGAAATGAGAAGATTGCTCTTTGGAGAGATAAGGAATGAGAAGATACCATGTAGGAGGTAGAAAATTGGGCTGGAGGCAAAGGGAATCATTTCAAACAACAGTTGCTGGTACTTCCAGATGGACTGGTCCTGGTGGGGTGCCCAACCTGAGATGCCTGCAAAAGGGCTGAGTTTCAGAGGATGGGTGACTGCTGCTTCTGGAAATCAGACCTCTGGAAAGAGTGTCTTAATATGAATAACCAAAAGGATAAATCTAATTGAAAGCATGACACTTAGCAGCCTTAGGGGCCTTTGCCAAACTCCCAGCTCTGAGTACTTCAAGTAAGACCCAATGTATAATTCTCTGCAATTTCACATATTGGGCTAATGTCTAGATAAAACCTATAGAACCCCAATTTAAGTCAGCTTTACTGTCTGGCCATGCAGTCCTGTTGCCTTAGCACTGTTGGCCAGTCCTGAAAAAAATTTATCATTATTCAGCATTTCCTCTGTTTTGCATCTAAATATTGTCTTGGTGTCATACTTTCCCAGTGAGGCAAAGTTTGCTTCTTATTAGTTGGAACAGGAGCCCCATGTGCTCATCTAGAGGAGGAGATATCCTTGTGCTTATTATTAACAAAGCTCCTTTTGAATCTCCAACTCCTTAGGCTGACAGTGAAAGCCCCTGCCACCTGCCTTTCAGATAATCCACACAAAAATTTGCTCTCGGCAGCCTTTTGCATATGGGACCCAGGCAAACAAGATGCTGGCACAGTCGTGATGGAATTTACTTTAGGAGAAAATGCAACCAAGGTCTAGCAGAAAAGCCTCTTGGATAGGGTTTTCTTTAAAGCTGCCATTGAGTGGAAGTCCAGGTTCATCCCACAGGCATGGGTTGGAAGGGTCTTCGTACAAGTGAAAAGTTGCAGCAGCATTCACTCAATTGTTTGTTTTACTTCTTTTTTTTTTTTTAATTTTTTGGGGGAAGGGATGTCCTCAGAGCTGTGCCAGCTGTTTCCATTTTTATATCTGGTGACTTCTTCCTTTTCCTTGCTGGGCCATTTTAGGTAGAAGGGCTGGGAATGCCCCTTAGCTTCCATGGCTCAGATGGGGTATGTGCCCTGTGCTCACAGGGCCAGATTCTCAAGGTCCTGTGCCCTTTTGCTTTGCTCTTGCATTAGACAAGCCATTGTGAGTGTAACAGGTTCATACCCACCTCAAGGCTTATGCCCACTGCCACAGTGATGGCAAAGGGACCTTTGCAAATGAGAATTTAGGCCACACATGCTCTAAGTCTTGAGCTTGCCTCTCAGAGCAAGGGCCTTCAAAACTCAAATGGATATCAGAAAGGTCACTTCTCTGTGTTCTTGCAACTTCCTTCTCTGTGTAGGACTTTAACTTTGTGCACCAGAAGGACCATTTTTGCATGAAGGAACATGTGATGGTGCCAGTCCCAAATGTTTCACTTACCTTTGGCTTTTCATCTCTGCGCAGTGATAATACTATAATTTAAAAATATAGGTATCTTAACTCTACCTTTATAATTGCACATGGCTCAGTTGCTTCTGAGGCACCATTTAGGTCTACACATTGCTATTAGATGTGATCACCCCCCCTTTTTTAATTTAGTGTGAATAGAGGTTGACTTTTCCGTGGTGGCCTTGAACTCCAGCCAAAGACTACATAGCTGTCACGGTATTTTTTTTCCCTTGATCAGATGAATCTTTTATTGTTGTGACTCAGAACTAAAATCATTCTGCCCCCTTTCAAAAGAGACTGAAAGCTGTGCATGTGGGGTAGTGAGGTCACTGGACTACAGAGCAGTTGGTATTTCTATATTAGGTACTGATAAATTTTGGCAGAATTCACTCTGGTGTTACTGGTTTGAGGAATCGCAGACGTTTGGAAGTGGCGTCTCATTCCACAACAGTGATACCATAAGGATGCAACTTGACAATAAAATGCTACAGTAGCAAAAAAAAAAAAAAAAAAAAAAAAAAGGTTTAAAAAGAAAAAAAAAAAAAAAAAAAAAAAAAAAAAAAAAGGTTTAAATCAATCTCTAGCCTGTCCCATCTTCTGTACTGTTATGGTATAAAGACAAGGACCTTCTGTATCTTTGTCTTGTATAGCACTGAGCATATACTTGGTACCTAATGAGTAACGTGTAGAGCCTGTCTGGATACAGAGAGACCTTCTGAAAAATAATAATCTAGATGTAAAAGTGCCTTAATGGCATACTTGCCACATGCTGTCTGGTGCTGTGAAGCCTTCCCCTGCGACGTGAAATGACCAGGCTTTCCAGTGTGTAGCTAGCTCACGTAAGTACTTTGTGCCTCCGTACAAAGAATGCTCTCTTCTAGAGGAATCGGGAAAATTTTGCTTGCATACTCTGCGTGAAGGAGCCTTACTAACAGCTCCTTAATTGAGTTCACTGTCAAAACCTGGTTAATATGATTGCAAAACCAAAAATTCCAACAGATTTTTGTGCAGGGAATCTATATTTATCAATACTGAGTTGCATTATGCAACAATGAAAGCTGTAGGCATTGTGCTCTTTGCAACTTGATGTTTGAGTTTTAACACTTCAGGATCTGAAATACTTCTTGGGTCACTAGACAGCTCTGTTGGCCCAAGGCAGATTGTGAGGTCTGACATTGCCACGTTTTCATAATCTTCATGTTTGTTTGGACACTTAACAGGGATGGGCACCCTACTGTCAAGCAAGAGTAATGAAGATAACGTGCCTAACTCCCTTACATAGGTTTGCAGATCTGTGGTCTTCCCTTTAACACGGAGATTTTAATAAAACCAAAGACCTTGCTAATACACGAAAAGCTAGTTGTGAGCTCCTATCTTGTAATGCGGCTGCAAGACTCTGTGATTTTTTGTTCTGGTGACTTATTTGGCAGGCATAGGCATTGGTGGATTGGGAGACCTGAGTTGTTCTCTCCCCGCTTTCACAGACTTGTGTGACTGTGGCCACATAATGATCTGCTGACTTCTGTGAAGTGCTTTGAGACCTTTGCCTAGTGGGTGCTCTGTAAGCAGCAGTTGTGTTCCTGCATAAAGCCATGCTAATATTTTCTTGCAGCCAACAGACTGTAACATAAGATGATCAGTCACCTGGTTGAAGAGCTGTTTAATATCTTTTTTTTTTTTTTTCTTTCGGTATCTTTCTGCTTCCTTCCTTCCTTCTTCTTCTCCTGCTTAACTCAGAAAAACTGATTGAAGGTCTCAAATCTCCTGAGACTGTGCTTCTGCTCGCTGATATCCTGCCTCTTGCTGACCCCTTCGGTAGCACCTCAGATGCTGTGAATGGTAAAAAAAACAAAAAAAACCCCAGGAAAAAACCCAAATAAGTGTCGTTGATGTGCTTTGTCCTGTCCTGCATGATTACATCCTAATTCTGCATGTTAACTCCCCCGGGCATAGGTGGGGTATGGCCAGCCAGCAGCCATGAAACACAGTTCACTTAAGTTACAATGCATGATGCAGAGACAGATTGACCTCTCTGAGTACCACGCTCCAGGACAGCAGGAGGAGGGTGTCTGAATAGCCAGCAAGTTGGAGCTTGTCATAAATTGCATGGCAGAGTTGTGATCCATGCAGGTTTCTGTCCTGACATGGATGAAAGGATTAGGTGTTGGGGGGAGAGGAAGAATGCCAAAGATCTAGAGAGAATGATGGTTCAGCAAGGAGGATACCGACTTTGGACCTCAGGGACTTGTTCGATTTCCTGTTCTGCTGCAGGCTTCCTGTATAACCTTGGGAAAGTCTCTCGGCCTTTCTGTGCCTTAATGCTCTGCTTATAAAATGGGGTGGTAGCATGTTGTGAGGGTAAACAGACTAAAGATTTTGAGGTGCTTGGTTCCATAAAGGAGGTCAGAAAGAAATGCACTAATTAATTCGGATAGTATTTGGCAAATGCCAGCCACTAAAAATGGTCAGACCTGAAGTTGGGATTTGTCAGTTTGCAACTTTAAGGGTATTTTTTGGGGGGAGAACAGGGATACATAGAATCAAAAAAATGCGGGTTGGACGGGACCTCAGGAGGTCACATCTAGTCCAACCCCCTGCTCAAAGCAGGGCCATCCCCAAAGCAGGCGTCATTTAATCATGTTTCTTTTCCCAGCATAGATATTGGGACCTTGTTTTATAAACAGAATAGTGACTGCTCCTTTATATCAATTTTCCCACTGCTATTCCCAGCAGCTGTTTGAACACTCATAAATATTGCCCCCTAAACCACAAACAAGCTCTGAAATTAGCTTGCCAAAATACTTCTTAATCTTTTTTGCACTTTCCAACCTAAAGTGTCCTAGTCTCAGAATACAGAGAGTGACCCTCTTGCTTTTTAAATTGATGTCATCACTCATTACCTGTTTGTTGCAGTTGGAGTAGGGAATCAAATGCACAGCTATATCTCCCCTAATGGTCCTGATCACATCTGATTCCATGTCCCTCTGTCTTTCCACTTCATGCATTCTGTGCAAGTAAATCTGGCTGTCCAGTTTTCCGCAGCAATTTGTCTCCATAATTGTATAAAATGAAAATGGAGAATCTCTTCTTTCCTAGAAGGGTGGGGATTTTCAAAGGGCCCTAAATAAGTCCCCAGATCCTTTTGGCTTCCACTTGGGTCTGGGCACCTAATTCTAAGGTACATTTTGAAAATTTTAGCTGAGTCGTGTGGGAGCTGAAGTGAGAATGTCCGAATATGCTGTAGAGCGTACATTGCAGTGATGTGTTAGAAGAAATAACATCTACCGTGTAACCCATATCATATTTGAAACTGGGCTCAGACCAATGGACCCCCCACTAAACATCAAATTTCCCTCCAGTTTGAAAGAACCCAGTCAGAGAGAACAGGAATACAATACCAAGGTGCCACGTTCTTGCACAGGTAGCTGCCCTGTATATTAGAGGGACACTTACAATGTCAGATAGCTGCCTGCTCAGTTTCTGCCTGCATGCTATCCGGTGAACTAACTTCTTGCTTCTCCTCTGCTTTGCTATTTTGTGCCTTTGGAAAGGAAAAGCTGAAATAGCTGTTGAGAGTCTCATACCCGGCCTCGAGGCGCCGTTGCCCCAGCGCCTTGCTTCGCAGACTGACTCGGTCACTTCTAACAGAACAGGTTGGTGAGATGTCTCAAAGTGAAATGTAGTGTTAGTGTGGACTGCACAACAACTTTCCAGTTGAAAGGAAAATCTCAATTTAAAACAGAAAGCCTTTACACTCCTGGCCCCTGCCCACTTGAAATAAGGCTTGACCACACTGGAAAATTCAAACTAATCTCTGCAGGGTCCTTATGAGTCAATGTATTGGCTTGCTGGAGAAGGATGTGGCAGAGGCTTATAGTAACTCATCCTGCAGCTTCTTGGTTCCAGACCAGACATCACTGCAGGTTGATAAGTCACATAGCTAAGTGTGCAATGCTTTTTGTTCCATCATGAAGGACCCCCAGGATCTGCGGGACAGGGTAATGGCTCTTTATGGTGTACTAATCCACAAATGCTTTTTATATGATAGAAACGGCATGTGTTCCATCAGCCTTGCCTCCCTTTGAATTGTGTGGCCCAGCATTATATGTTCTTACTTACCTGTATGCTGCTAATGTGACATCCTGTTTCCTGCGGAGGTCTGTTATAGCTATGAACACCAGCCACCAACCTTGCCTGCCTCTTGCCTGTGCTCTGTCGCTGGCAATTCATCTCTCCCACTAAGGCCCTGCAGATTGCTCATGTGGGTGGATAGTGGTACCTTGTTGGCACTCTGTCGACTGTAGCAGGTCACTTACCCCTTCCCAGCAATGCCCTTCCTTCCCTCCCCACGGTCTCGCAATGTGCCACAAGGATCCAGTACTTTTAAGATGCCTGACATTTTATTTACAGTTGTTTTCTCTGCAGAGGAAATGTTACCTCAGCTGACAGGTTTCTTTTCAGGAAGCCTTGCTCAGCTACTTAATTGTCTTGGAAAAGGCTGTCGGTCCTGCCCAAACTATCTGGTTTGCAGTGGCTGCTCTCCCTTCCCCACCCTATGTTGAAGCTCTCACCAGAGCATCTCAGGTTTTCCTTTATAAAATGAATGACTGAGTGACCTGCAGGCTGCCTGTCTTTCATAACAAGCTTTTCAGCAATGACAAAAATGAACATCTCCGTTCCAGCCTTTGCTAAAGCAAGTTGTGGCAGAGGTGCCCAAGATCTTGTGGTGGTTGGTTGTAAAAGGATAGGACTGTCCCATCTCTTGACTAAAATCTCATCTGCTCCAGTAAGCAGGGCATGGCTTCAGTGCTGCTCTTGCAGTGCTAGAGTTGAAGCTGCTGTTGAGCATATAGGTGGGTTCAAACATTTTGGGATCCTTGAACATTTTATATAATTGTGAGAAGGACATGCACATTTAGCTAAGCGCAGGTTCTGCAAACGGACTAGATGGGGAATGGAAATGTGAAAGCATTAATCTAACTGTTGTGTGTGCTATTTAATGCTGCCATTGCTGTGGCCGTGGGACTGTTAACCTGCATTCAGACTCTCTGACTGGGGAAGACTCTCTGCTTGACTGCTCTCTGCTTTCTAACCCGGCTGCTGACCTCCTGGATGAGTTTGCTCCTATCACTATTTCAGCTCCAGCTCATAAAGGTAAAAACTCCCCCTTGTTCCAATGATAGAGTATGTTGTAGGGCAAGATCTTTAGGTGATGCAAAGGGAAGTCAACACCATTTTATACCAGCTGATGCTCTGGCCCATAATCCGACGGTGCACTGTAATGGGCCAGGCTGTTGTCTTGTTCCTTGACTGGCTATGTGGGCTGAGGAAGCCGAGCTGCAGAAGAGCAGTGGCTTAGTCTGTGGTGGCTATCAAGTTTTGTTTTTTGGGGAACTGCAAAGGACTGAAACCATTGTTTAGTGGCTAAAGCACATGACTTGATAGGGGAGGTTTGGTTCTCTCTCAGGTCTCCTCTCACATCTCTGTGCAAAACCCTTGGAAAGTCATTGAGTTTCCAAGGTAGGACTTGACTGTGCTTAAGGCCTGATTTTTCAGAAGTGCTGAGCATCCTCTGCTCTAGCTGAAGTTTATGTGGGTGTTGAGCACTTCTGATCCAGGGTCCTTCATCATCACTGGTCAGCATTGAACTGAGAGCCCAAGTTTTAATATACACCTTTCCTGCTTTGAGTTGCCAGATAGCTGTTTTCTTCAAATACTGACCTGTTACAGTGTGTGCACATGCGTGTGTGGATGCATGTAGGTGTGCTTCAAAGACTATATGAAAAATGCTGACATATGATGAGTAATTTGCAAATCAAGTTGGAAGTGAATATTGGATAGTAAATGCCTCCTTCCCGGGGATTCTTCTCTGCATATGGCATTGAAAGGACAGGCCCAAAGGGAACACTAACCTCTGGGTGCCCACTCATGCTGAGTTTAGCTTGGCTCATTTGATAAGCATCCCTATAGCAACAGGATTGGTCCACAGAGGAAGTGCAGTCAGACTCGTCTGTAATCCATTTTTACAGTTGATGGCCTTTTCAGACAGGGTTTTTCTTGTACTTGAGCTTTTGAATTTAAACAAGCAGATCTTTTAATTGCTCATTGCCCTAATGCACTTCCATGCCACTCAATTTTGAATAAGTGCCTTGAAATTTATGTTCAGAAGCTATTATTCCATGTTTGGAACAAAGTGGAAGATAAGCTGAAATGTTCTTGTGTGTGACTCGGTAATGAGAAACAAGAGAAGGAATTAGCTGGATTCTGTACGACTTCCCTTGGATTGTACTGTTGTTCCCACTGGTTTGAGGACAGTCTTAAAGACGACAGGAAAAGTGAGATTTTTATCAGAAGCACAAGGATTCCTGAACACTTTATGGGTGGTTTCTTTTAAAACCTATTACTGTTACAGTTCTAGATGATTTCATTACCCACAGAGATACCCAAATCTTTTTTTTAATCATTCCACATTCTTGGTTGGAATAAGAAATGGTGGCTGGAAATTGCAGAAGCGAATTGCTGATGCCACGAAATAGTACGGAGAGCACAAATGTAGTAGGACTCATCAGGTTGGATGCTTGCATGGAAACAAAAGCATCCAGCAGAGATGGGTTGATGTTCTGTCCAGCCCACTGACTCTCAGTCAATAAGTCATGCTGAAATGTTATGTATGTGTTGCTAGACTGCATTTTGCTTTTTCTGTGCTCTTATTGGAACCTGTCAAGTCTTTGAGGTCACTGCTTCATATTTACACTACAAAAAACTGCATCTCATATGGGTAGGACAGCAACAAATGTTCTCCTAGAGTGTACATTATTACCGGGGGGAGCTGAGACAGCATGATGGAGAGAGAGAGATGCATCACTTAAACTCATCCAAAATTGTGTACAGTGTATATTGCCTATATTTTCTTGCTTCCTAAGGAAGATGCCTAAATGACTACACAATGCAACGATGAATGGCTTCATGTGCAGATGTTTGCAATTTTAAGAAATTTTACTTCTTGGTGAAATTTCAGTGACTTCTGCATGGAGCAGAACAAGAAGTACCTTGACTTCCAAAAGTCATTTCATGTCACATTAAAGAGGCTCTTTGTTACTTATGTGGGCAGACTGCTGAAGAATACAAGACATCTGTGCACCTGCAACATGTACTCTGCTTCTGTGATTCTGGCTTCTCCACAGAGTGATTATGTAGTTACTTGTCTCCCATCCCTTCTTCCTAAGATCACTGTTTCCATAGAAGACTTCTTCCTTTCACTAGCATAGCCAAAACCCACTAGTACATTAGTCAGTCTTGGTTTAAAAGGATTTTTTTTATCTGGGAGGGACAGTTCTTGGTAAACATGTATGCTCATTCCCAGAAATGCAGCTAGGGCATCTACTTCTCATTGCATTTAAGGGGCAGATTGTGGAAGGTGTCTAAAGGGATCAAGAAGCACAGAATGGTAAAAGTTCCTAAGTGCAGGGGAGGTGTCTCATAATGCTGACAGATCTCTAGAGGGATGATCAGTAATGCCTAAAGAAAGTTAGGCTCCAAACTCCCACAAATCTTAAAGCCATTTCAATAGGAGTTAGGCTCCTTGCCTGCTTTAGGTGCTTTTCAAGTCTCTCTAACTTTTCTTTGAGAATGTAGCCCTGCTTGCATTTTTCCTTCATAGGGAAAGAACTCAGGGGTCTTGGCCCATCTCAATAACCCATTTCTCTTCCTGTCCCTTCTTCGGGGCTACCGTTTCCCTCCTTAAAACTCCCTTCGGAGACCAAGGAGGCTGACTGTTCTCTGGGTTTGTAATGGTGCCTCAGCTGGCCAGTGAGATGACGGACAGTCCCATCCCTCCCAGCCATCACCCCAGAATCTGTGCTGGTCATGAAATACTAAGTAAGCCCTGAAAAAGTAAAGGCTTTTAAAGCAAGCCATGAAATGCTAAAGCAAGCCCTCAATCCCTGACTTCTGGCTGCAAAATGTGCCAAATGCTCACTCCATGGGTCAGCCAAATTTGTATTTTGAGTCTCACAAGTTGGTACAGCTATTTATTTTTCCTTCCCCCTTTTTAATTTTCCCTTTTGTGTTTAGTGATTGGCTCTCTTGCTTACCACCTCCTTATACTTACTAGGTTTATTTCAACTTTACAAAAAAGCTCATCCTTTTTAACCTTTTCTTTTAAAATAAATATGTCCTAACACTTTTGGTCAATTCTAACATGCTTTCTTTGCTATCTTTGCTTCTTTACTTCCATTTCTTCCTCATGCTGCAGAAGATACTAATCTGATATCAGGCTTTGATGCACCTGAGGGCTCTGAGAAAGTGACAGAAGATGAGTTTGACCCCATCCCAGTGTTGATATCCAAAAATTCACAAGGTAAGACAGGATTTAAACTAAAAACGTATCAGGACAATCTGGGTTTTTTCATCAGTGAAGCTACAGTGTATGCGAAGTAATGCTGACCACTGGGGATAGCCTTTGTAGTGTTCAATGAGCCTAATTCTTTTCTCATTCAAACTTGCTTGTCTGACTGTACTGTCATACTAACAAGGGGATGTTGAAATGATGCTGTGCAGCAACATGGAGAAATACCCAAGTTTAACTCTGAAGGACTTTAGTCTCAGGGTATTTGAAGCAATATAGCCAGGTTAGTGCAGCATGGTATGCTGGCTAATTAACCCCAAGCAGGGTATATTAGATGGTATGGAGTAGCGTAGTAACATTTGCTATCCTGTTTCCAGTATTCAAGCAAACTTGGGTATATCTGCATGGCACTACATTGTGCTGTGTAGGCATGCCCCAAATAACTCCAGCATGGAAGTGAGAGGATAATGAGGCCCAGGCAGACAGGAGACTGTATTTAAATGTCCAAGTCTCTTGGTACCCGAGGAGTCAGCAATACCTTGTTTTTCCTCCCAGTCTGGGTCAACTCAATTAAGTATTTCCATGATTAAGTTGTACTAGATACCTTTTTTGTGTAAAGCCTGCATTCAGTCTCCATAAAATGACTGGAAGGATACTTATTGAGGGAAAGGAAATTATTTTCTACCTTCAGACCTCTCCTGAAATCAAATTGATGGTGATTTTCTGACTGATATGTTCAAAGCCCAGTGGGGGAGAATGGGCATCCAGCTCCTTTTGAGCAGTCATGGAAGCTCCAGCCTGTGTTGTTAAGTCTTCTTTTGTAGTTTTCCTGGCAGCCTAGTCCTGCTTTGTTAATGGTTTTCCTAGGAACAGAGCCAAGACACTTTATTTGCAATGCCACCTGTCAGATATGACTTGTTTTCCTGCAGCCTGGTTGCAGAAATTATTTTTTTATTTTTGCAAGAAGGTAAACTTTGACAGCATGAGCTATATTTTTTTTGTTCCTCCCCAGTAGATGCTTTTCTTTCCCTGATCTCCAGATATCCTTTCTCCTACAGCATGGTGCATGCTGTACATCTGCTCGGTGTCTAATATTAGCTTGGAAAGAATGAAACCTCCTAGTAAGAAATACTGAGCCACGGAGGTTGGGATTCTCAAAAGTACTTACTATTGACCTCTGTTCTGTTCCCATTTTAAGTCAGTGGATGTTTTTCCAAGGACTTGAATGAAAGCACCCAGAAACCCTGAGAAATTGCTGTAAATGACCTAGGAATTTATTCTTTTTGTAAAAATCAATTTGCATGAAAATCCTTCTCTAGCACTATCAGACAATTCTGTAGCGGGGATGAAATTCTCTAGAGAAATCTAGAGGTTGATTATAAATAGTGTAGAAAGGGAGATGGTTTCTATGGATAGCTTTTAAAGGGAATTTCTAAAGAAGCCTATTGGCTTTTATGCCTATTAACCTATCGGTAACACTTCTGTAAGGGACCTCTCATTGCTAAATGTTAGGGGTGGCTGCAACAATAGTAATTGTATGACAGAGCAGCTTAGTGTAGCTACAGTTAGTTGCTTTTTTCTGGTTATTCTCTCTTTGCTTGCTCTTAACATCTGAAACTAACCTGCTCGATACTGAATTCCTCTTTCTCACACTTTCAGGTGGGCATTCTAGAAACAACAGTGGAAGCTCTGAGTCAAGTCTTCCCAACATAGCCAGGTCTTTACTGCTGGTGGATCAGCTCATAGACCTGTAGCGGTGACCCCGTAGCAGACGCAGTTTCTGTAACGTACCTAATCTACGTTTTCATTTCCAGAGGAGTTTAACCTTCAGTTGCATTTTCTTTTTCTTTTCTTTTTTAATTAAAAATAAAAGAATCTACCAACAGGCTTTCCCCGCCCCTGTTCTCATATCCCCATCCCAGGAAAGAATTCAGTTTCTGTCCTCCAAATAGTTGTTTTACAGCGCGTTCCTGGCACAACCTGCTGTGGTTCCTTATGCACTTGTCTTTACTAGCCTGTGTCTAAAGGGAGCACTACTTGTCATTTGCCACTCTGCTGAAATTTTATACATAGCTTCACTGAAAGCTTAACTGTAAACTAATTAGTTAACTGTAGCCTAATGTATGAACCTTGCTAGAAACAGCATTCCTTTTTCCTTAAGCAAGAGTGCTGACTAAAGTGTGATAATCATTTGGGTTTTTCCTGATCAATGGGCAAAAAGAAAAGAAGAGAGAAAATCACTAGGGCTGTCCCTCTCCTGTAGGAGACGGGTTAGGGAAAGTATGTTTTTAAACTGGCACTATATGCCAGAGAAGAAACAAATTGGAAAATTGCATAGAGCTTAAGGTAATCGGGTATATTGAGAGAGTTTTCCACACCCCAGCTAAAGGTTTGCTGTTATCAATCCTGCTTATGAATGGACTGCGCTTTCTCAGTAAAAATAAAAATAAATTATTCAAGCTGCAAGAATGACCCCGAATTAAGCGTTTCACAAATTGGAACTAAGTACATGTGAGTATGGCTGTGATAGCTTTGTGTTAATTTAACTTCTGGCTGAAAAGGGCATTGTGGCAACAACAGATGTATTCTCTTGTGATTTTTGTTTTGTTTTCTTTTTTTGGTGTGTTTTAGATAAAATACTGTAAATGGTGTACAAACCAAATTGTCCAGCAGTTGTTTGTGTTTTGTTTTTAATCCTGGCTTTAGTCAAAAGTCCAGTATCTGTTCTGGGTTTTCCCTTGTAACTACAAAAAGTGCAACACAGTTAAGTATGGAACCATTTTTCAGTAGACAGAAGTTACTGTATACTTTATTCAGATTTTCAGTCTTTGTAGAACAAGCATGTAGTCAGCTTAGACAGTCTGAAATGAGTGCTGGCAAGCTCAGTGATACTTGATGGTATTTACCTTTTTTCTTTTTTTACCTGAACATGCTTAGTTTTTTCAGCTAACCAGATAAGCTAAACTTGTTTCCATTGGCTTATGATCATAACATCCAGAGTTTCCATCATATATTTAAAAATCATTTCTAAATAGAAGGACTCTTCCTCTGTAGTGGAATCATTGCTAGCTTACTGCTAACCTTGTGTATGTGTATGTAGCTGTATTAGTAAAAGTGCAGTTTCCCATGTGCGAAAGTATGAATGACTAAATTATATATGTACTGACCTCTCCCTGAGAGGGAAAGACATTAAGTCCATGAGTATTTCTCTCCTATTTCCAGTTTTCCCCACACTGACGTTTAGTTTAACAAATTCTGTAAATAGGACTAACCATTAATAGTGTCTGCTGTCCATTAATCTTCTTTTAAAATCTACACTTAATAATAAAAGTATTGCTTAAGTGTGTTGTATCATTACATGTGTATACTGCACTTTCCAGGAGAAGCTTTACATGAGAAGAATGGAAATGATCTTAGTAAAATTGTTGATAGAATTTTATTATTTTTTTGGTGGTGGTTGTTTTTTATTATTCCTAAAGCACAGGCAAATTGGACTGGAAACCATGACAAAGATTTAGATAGAAAGTTATTGTATAGTCAGATACTGAAAATTATATGAACAGAGAATGGATTTTAAAAAAGTAACCATCTACTGTATATTAGAAACCAAGAGATTTCTGTGAATTAAAGTACTTTTAAAGAATGTTTAAGATTTTAAATCTGATAGAACTTGTTCAAGGGTTCTCGAAGCAAAACTATAAAGGCACTGGGTTGTTAATAATGTCATTAAATAAGCAGATGTGAATGTTCTTTTTACTGTTTTTGAAGTAGCTATTCATGGTTTAGGGAAGGGAACACAAAACAAATCAATGGAAACTTCACGCCTTTAATGAGGTCTATGATTAGCCCCAGGTATAAGACACGACTTGCCACTGATAAGTGAATGTTCCAAAAGACAGCCGTGGAATACTTGAAGTGTGAAGACTGTAGTTAACTTTAAAAGAGGTGGGAGATTTAATTTTTAAATGGATGAAACTATCCTCAGCCTGCACATTAGGTTAGAAAGCACAAAGTGCCCAGTGGAGACCACACAAAACCAACTGTTATCCAGTCTCCGTACCAAAGAAGGCTGGTGCATATGATGGCATAAAGGTACAGGGTTACTTAATACCGTCAAGAGGGTTCATTGTGGTTATTTGTTACTGTAAGAGAGGGAGCAAGTCAAATGCTTTACATGTGTGATAAATAAGGTATGGGTTTGTTTTTTCCCTGAAAAGGTAGTGGGGGCAGCTGTTTTGCTTGGATGGATAGAAGTCTTTGAGCAGTCATGTTGTTTACACGTGAGGATGATGAAGGAATCATCTTATCCTGACATCCTTGAGTTACTAACACAACTGTTGGTCTTAGTTTATTTGGATGGATTCTCCTGCCAGGATTCAACATTTACCAAGGCAGCCACTGTACAAAGTAATGCCAACTCCTCTGTCACAGCAGGGGTTAGACTTATTCCCATATCCACATCTTGTTTTCAGGAGAGGCTTTTAAAAGATGCTAATGGAAGCTGGAGGCCCAGTTGTATGGTTTTCCAACAGAAATAGAGTAACTAATTGCCGTTGGTAATCAAGAATCTCTCTTTAGTTCTTTTCTACATTAGTGGAAAAAACATTACACATTCACACCATGCAGAGGTCAGTAAAGTGAAGTATTTTGGGTTCGTCAGAGGAAATAATGTTTTGAATACCTGCTGCAGCGAAAATGCATCTGTCTCAAATAAGAGCCATTAATGCTTTTAAATCTGGTAATTACAAAGACAATTAAGTCAAGTTGTGGTCACATACATGGAGGAAGCATATTTTAGAACCTTTAATTTTGCCCTAGGAGGAAGACTTATTTGTGGACATTCACGGTGCCTTGCAGATTGAGTTGGCAAACTTGGACTCGATTAAGAGAGTCCATCAAAATGAGTGAATGTCTCTTCCATTTGGAAATGTGCTGTTTCTCCGCAGTTGAGCGGAAAAAGTGCAAAATGTAAATACCTCCTTGGAACAAAGGAGAAAGGACTTAAATCTAAAGGCTCAAAATCTCGAAATCACCATATTGGCTTCTATGTTCATAGGAACTGGGAAGGTCCCATTCCCTGGGTTTTTTTCCAAAGCTAACCAGAAAACAGGCAGGGCCACCAACAAGCTAAAACTGTTTCAAACTAGCAGGTAACTGGGTTTGGGAATAGTGGGATTAATTACTGCATTAGAGGCTTTTAAATAAATATATAAGAGAATATTGTCTCGTGGGATTAAGTTAACTTTTGTGCAAAAGACCAACACAAAGTGATGCACCACTTGGAGCCTTTTGTAGGGACTTCAGTGGTGCATAAGGCTTGTGCCAGCACTTGCCAAGGGAAGGAGTTTTTAAACCATAATAACCCCATCTTGGCTTTCTCTGAAGCAGTCGCAGCCTTTTCATCCAAAGTGAACAATGAAATACAACTTGTTGCTGTACCAGAAGCTGAAAAACATTGTCTCTAGAAAGATTCTAATCTAGTAGGCTTGATTCTCCAGTTTCCTGCAGTCACGTTTGTACCCAGTGGGTGTAGAACTCTACCTGGTTAAAAGGTATTATGCACTGCAGTTACTCACTGTGCATCTGAGTAACTGGTTTTACAAGATGCCAGACAATTGAGAATCAAATCTAGTATCTCTGTGGCATTCTGGCCAAGAGGACAGAGCACTGGACTGGCAACCCAGGGACCTGGCTTCTGTTCTCTACTCTGCTGCTCACCAGCCCAGTGACCGTGGACAAATCACTGCGAGGTTATATCTGAACTTCCTCATCTGTGACAGAGTACTAATGACCCAGACCTCCTTCAGAAACTGCTTTGAGATCCATTGATAAAGAGCACTAGAGAAGATCTGGGTGTTGTTTTACAAATTCCAGTCCTTTGTTTTTAGCTTTGATTGGCAAGGAAAGTACAAGGGCGAGGAAAGAAATCTACCCTCTGTTAAATGAAGGGAAGTTTTGATTGTCAGGTCATGGCTAAACCAGACCAGTAGTCGCATGCATCAACTACCATGTCACCTTTTAATCAGTCATCCTCACATGCAAGCATCTTCGTGGCTTTGCGCAAAATCAGCAAAATTATCCTATGGAAAGGCCATCTCAGCAGCTGGACATATACCCTCTGCTCTTTCCAAGGTTCTTGTCTTTAAGATCTAATTCAGAGCTCATTCATGCCCATGAAAAGGCTCCTGCTATCTGGACTGGATCAGACCCTCACAGATGACTGAAAAAGATGGTCCAGGGTATGATTTGGCTTTTTGGTGTAAATCCCATCCATGTCTTTCGGTCACTGCAATGTTCTTTATAAAAAGAAGATACAAAAATCCTCGAGTGTCTATATTGTAACCTGTGAGAAGATGCTATTTCTTCCATCCCATTCGCCATACTCGTCTATGGATATTACAGGTTTTATCTCTTGCTAACCTATGCAAAATATAGTCATTTCAAAGCAGCGGCAATCACTTAGAGTTCATTTCTTTTTATCAACGCTTATTGCAGCTAAGTGAACTGTATCTGCAGTATCGTGCAGCTCCTGGTGTATCGCATGGTGTATATTTTCAATATGTACCTTCCTTCTGAAGAAAGTAAAACAAGTGCATGTACTCAGGGAAAAGCTTTAGTGCAGATGCTTAACAGCTGAAGACATTTCTACACAACGACTGCATTAAAGGGGAGTGGGAGTGCGGAAATGTAATTTTGTAAGAACAGAAGAATTACCTTATGTAAATCTTCTACAGAATAAAGTCTTTACTGTTACTAATGAGCATGCTTAGAAATGTAACTATAACGTCACAGATTAGGGTCATTCTGAGGAGGTAACATGCATGTCTTGGGGGTAAAAAGCAGCAGCTGCCCACTGGCAACACCCTGCCTCGTGTGCTCATGTATTAGGAGTCCCAGCTCTTGGCAACATGAGGTTGAGAGCATCCTGTTTTGTACAGCTTCAGTAAAACCAGCCACTGAACTTCTGGTCACTCGCGGATATTAGGCATGTTTGTAAAAATGCATGCAGCTTTCAAGCATCTTTAGTTGGTTTAGCACTGCTTACCGTAGATGGGAGCTATGTCATGAAATGGCAGGGACAGGACCACAAAGGTGGCAGGTGCTAGGTTTTCTTAGCCTGTCTTCTATGTTCTCACCCACCATCCCTGCTTGTAGAATGAGCCTTTTCATCTTCCAGCCGTGACAGAATGAGATTGCCGTTTCCCTGGAACGCATCTTTCACATCAGTCTCCTTGACCTTGGATGGGACATGTTGGAGAATCCACTGTTTAAGGGACCATTAGCACTGGCTAACTTAAATTACCCACTTCCTATAACATCCATGTTGCATGCTTCTCACAGCAATAAATTGGCTGTAATGTGGTCCAGGTATAAGAGTCCACCCATGCCTTTCACCTTCCTGTCATCCTTGTTAAATCATCCCCATACATTATGCAGACTTTTATTCTTGGGTGCTTCAGACTCTGAGCTTCACTTTACCCAGTCTAAATCATTGGCATACTGAAATCATTATTTTCAATATCCTTGTTCTCTTATTAACAAATGCATGGTATCTGGAGAGATCTCCCCTACTTTTTGTTTTCCAGGTGTTTTGTATGTTGCAATTCTTGTTGTACCTTCCACCAGCTGTTCTGGGCACAGGGTGAAACTGGTCCTTGGGCAGATGGCTAGGGCAAGATCCGAGTCCCACTTACACTTGCATTTTGCAGAATAATGTATAGCCTTTTCCTGGTCCTCTGGACCTCTTAAAACCCACACAGGCGTTACATGTACAATGGATATCAATAATGTCTGCATGCGTTGCCTGCCCTAAAAAGGGGTCTTTGGGCAGAGGCTGAAAGCTTTGCATTAGGGGGCTATTTTTTATAGCCCATAGTTGGGAACACAACAGATAACAAAGACAGTCAGCTCCAAATCATGCTTGCATCCAATGTGTGGCAATAACCATTCTGCCTGTTACATGGTACCCTGCAATTTCACACCAGTTGTTGCTATTTTGCTACAGTCCTTAACCAGTTGGGGTTTATATTGTATATGTTTCCCCAACCCTAGCTCTTACCTTTTTTGCATACAGATTGTAATCTGTGATTGTAGCTTCAAGCTCAGTATTCGTTAGGCAACTTACGCTATTGGGGAAAGAATGATTTATTCTGATCAAGTGATTCAGGTACAGTGGCAATAGTGTATAATGGATAGCCAGTTTGCATTCATGTTATATGCATGGCACATGCTCCCCTCTTTCCTTCTCTTATTTGCCTGTATGCTTTGTTCCAGGGTGACCAGATAACTAAAACAAACAAACAAAAAACTGTACCTTGGCATGATGTGGCAACCTTACTGGCTCTTTTTTTCTGCCTTTTGTTTTAAAATCGTGTGATAATGTCCAGCTCAGGAACTCCATGAATAAACAGCCAACCTCTTGAAAGGGAAAAAATAATTTAGGTCGTCTTATTTCTATAGTCAAACTAAGAATAGCACGAAAGCTTAAGGCACTTCTGAAAACGTAGGCTTCAGAGAAGATAGATAGTATTTTTGTACAATAACTTATAAAATGCTCATCTATATCTACACTGTCTTCACTTTGCAGTGTAATGTATCTAAGTTAATACTTTCCCAATAAAAAAAATCATTTTGATGCTTACTAAAGAGTGTTGTGTCTTTTAATTCTGAGAAATGGCTGACAATGAGTGAACTTGCATAAATACATATAACTTATAAAGGAAGGTTTTAGAACTTGGAGTTCACTTGGAGTGTGTGTATGTTAAAAAGTTTAATCCGAACAGAGGGTGGAGATCATTTTGTAATTATGTGAAACTGAAAGACATGTTTTGTATAGAAGTAAAGGGGAAAGTGTTTAGAGCATCATTCTGTCCTGTCACTCAGTAGATATCACATACCAAAATGCAAATCTTTTTGTCTGGAATCTATACTGCCTAGTTTTCATGTGCCTTTTTCCTATCCTCTTGCTAACATGAGTCCAATGACATGCTTCTAACCTGCTAATAGTTCTCTGAAGGTAAGATATCTTGTATTCTGATAACTGTCTGTGTGATTCATAAGGCAAAAGTAAGCCTATTCTTGGGCTCTGGTAACTAGAGAATAGCAGGATAGTAAGCCCCTCTTTCTGCCATGTTGGTTTGATTTTACTTAACATGTAGAACCAAGCCAATGTATCATAATAATCCTAAATACTTCACTTAGAATCAGTATATCGGGTTGTTTCAACTCATACTTTTGCAGTGACTCCAGTGGCACTGCTAAAATTACCAGATTGGTGAAAATAATCTTTGAAATACCTTGCGGAAGGATATATATACTTACCTTTAAGCTTGTGCAATGCTAACGGATCAGAGGTGCCACAGTGCATTTTACATGCCGTAGTGCAACAGCTCATGGAAGTGCAAGGTGGCTCCCAAGAGAACAAACTATGCCAAGCAATAAATACCTGCTTGTAGGTAGCTCCTGTGCCAACAGGCAGCTGCAACAAATGAATGAGTGAATGAACGACACTACTACTAACTGTCCATTTACTGGTATTTCACTCCAGGCAGTAGCCTCATAAAATAAAGGCCATGTTGCAGGTGGCACTTAAAATTCCTTGTAGAACGGTGTCAAACAGGAGTGTTTGAACTTGGGCGTTTGTGTCTCTAACATCTTCCATCTCTTTCTAACACCTTGTATTTGTGCTGTCCTGATCTGTGAGGAAGTGCTGAGTTGTGTTCCAGTTTGTGTGCAGCAAACAATTCATTGTTTTCTTTTCTTTTAAATTATCTTTCCTTCTCATTTTCCATGTATGGTGGTGATGGTTTAACTGAGCATCGTAGCATTTCCAGTGCAGTTCATTTTTTATTTCATATGTGTTAATGACAAAGAGAATTTAGTTGATTTATGAGTAACACTCTTGTTTTGCGCTCCTAGGTCTGCAGGGGGAACCGGTCGTATACCCTGTTGTAACCATTGAGCACTGTAAAGGACCTGCTGCTAGTGATGGTAACTCATTGTACAAAGGTCAGCCTGAGACACTGGAGGTGAGAACACAGCACAACTCAGAATCTGACTACTTAGCGAGAGGTGACCCTTCAAGCAACAGCTCCTTCCACAGCAGCGAGGGAGAAGGGACAGACCACGAGGGAGACCTTTTGGATTGTAGTGGGTCCCGGCCTTTGCTTATGGACTCTGAAGAGGAAGAGGAGTCCTGTAAGTTGCAACTGGTACCCAAAGAAAGAGTGAAGGCTTCCGAAGATGATGGCAATGCCCAGCCTTCTCATAGTGGGATAGGAGATGTATTGTTCCCGGCCTTTCAGCTGCACACGGGAGAATTTTTCAATGAGCCTGATGTCTTTGCCACAGCTCCTTTCCGAAGCTCAAGAAAAGTAAGTGATGACCTGGATGTCTTTTCCAAAGCACCCTTCATTTCCAAGACTGCTGTGGCTGCAAGGCAACCAGAAGAAACAGATGTATTTCTGAGAGCTCCTTTTACTAAAAAGAAAAGCTTGGAAGAGTTGCCATCACACAGCCCATCTAAGGAGCCTCATGCACCTGCTGCTTTCCTCAGTCAAAGGGGTGATGACCAGCATGTTGTTAACGCTGTGTTCCAAAATTTGGATACAGGAATGTGTGGGGCGCCTGTCTCAGCCAGACCTCAGTATCCTACAGTAGGGTTCACTCAGCCAGCAAGCCTTCCACCTCACTCCATAAGAGCAGTGGAGCCACAGGAAAGTGTTCCTCCCAAAGGATCGCTGAAAGAGCATGGCAGTGTTTCTAATGACAGAAGCCAAGGACATGCGGTCCCACAGGATGCCCTCTTGGGCTCCACGGTTAGTCAGCCTTTCCGTCCACAGTCGTTATCCAAGTACTCCCGTCACTACAGTCCAGAAGATGACCAGGGTCTGGATGTCCAACCCATAGCGGCTTATAAGGTGGTTTCTCAGACCAACAAACAGGCAATAGCAGGATCTGTCTCTATTGCTTCTCTCTCTTCCAGGACTACAGAGCTGCCTAGTGCTGACCCGTTTGCTTCAGCACCTTTCCCTTCCAAATCGGGAAAGCAAAAGCCTTAAGTAGTCTGCTGTGAGATGGGAGACAGGCTTCTGATTTAAACTCTCTCTCAAGGACCTTCAGGCTCTTAGTAGAAATGAGGAGTACTTTCCCCCCACCTTTATTCCAAATTCTAGTTGCAGTGATATTTAGTTGAACCATTTTAAGTTATATTCTATTGAATGCCCAGCTCTCAAGGGTCTTCGCATCCTATTTTAGTTGCTACCTTTCCTCCTCCCTAATTCCTCTTTAGATGCTTCTCTGAACCAGTAATATTTTGTACTTGCTGGCTTTGGCAGGGTGAATACCTTGTTCAATTTGTTACTATTGATACTGGTACACAACTAGGATTACAGAGCAAGTCAAGCAGGACTGGCTAACGCTCTGGGGAGGAAATTGGTTCACAGGCCAAAAAGGTTGTCATTATTGTTTTCCTACCAAGGGGAATTTTGGAAGTGATCAGAGTAGAAGTCTCCCAAAAGCTTATAACAAATGCCGCAACCAAACCAACAACGGTAGATTGAGAATATAGCTCCTTGATGATGAACTGTGTGTGTATTTACAGAATATATGCATGTTGAATGAAAGCCACACAGCTGCCAGAAGTCTAGCATGAGGACTATGCACTATTGAAGTTCCACATAAAGGAAAATGTAGCCTTGTTGTTGGCCTTATGCATACAGACAATTGTCACTCAGTAATACATCAAAGTACATGTCTATCTGTTGACTTAGTACAAACCCTACTGGAGGCAGTGAAAAGGCTCCCAAGACTTCCAGTGGGTTTCAGTGGGGTTTTGGATCCAGTTCCAAATACATCTGAGTATAGAAGTGTTGGCAAAGTGATCTTTTTGGATGTCATCTTATATAAAAGTGTGTGTATGTACACACACTCACACTCGCACTCATTTTGTTCTGACTTATTTTCCAATTGGTTTATGCCAAAGTATTGAACCATGCATTTCACGTATTATAATTTGGAGAGTGAACTTTTAATCTTAATACTGTTAAAACTGGAATACTTTGGAAGTAGCTTGACAGAAGTTCTGATCTAGGCAACTCCCTCCTCCCCTCCTCAATGTAATATATTGTTGCTCTGCCGACTTCTGTCAAGTTGCAGTGATTTACACTAGCAAAGGATCTGGCCTTAAATTAATCTTTATTTTTCCTTTCTGTTAAGATAAGTCTAAAGACAAGCTACCTTCCTCCTGCACTTTTCTATTGTGTTCTAGAAATCCCATGTTTTGTACTGTATGATTAAAGAGGAAGACAGCTTAGTTTTTATAAAAGCAAAAAAGAGTTGTAGTGAATTACAGTATTGAACTTGGAGGAAAATGTCGTTGTTGAGTGGGGAAGCCACTTGACTTTATTTGTCATGTTACCGTTGGCAGCAGAGTAGGAATCCATGAGTTGTTTTCTTTAGGGATTGTTGGCTTTTCTTGTGCCTTTTTGCTAAAGAAAGAAAGGCAAGTCTCAGTAGTGTTCTTGTGTGTCCATCCAGAATGGGAGTGGTAGCAAGCCCCATCAGAACCAAACCAGCAGTCTTCAAACTGCTGTTTCTCTCCAGGAAACACTTGATGTTGCTGTGAAGTTGTTTCCAAAATGTCTAACTATAAGGATTTTTTTTCTTTTCTATAAGGATGGTTCATGGCGCTGTTCCTTTTCAAGATGTCTTTCATATCCTGAGCAATTCTCTTGGCCATACACAGAAAAGAGGAGAGCCCAGGAAGATCTTCATGATGGTTTGTTCTTTCAAGGCCTCATTCAAAGCTTACTTTTGAGTCTCTCTCAATTGGGCTCTTAGAAAGAGAGTGAGGACTGTTCCCTTAATTCATCTGGTCATTAGCAAATAACCTAGAGCTTTGCACTGAAACCTAAGGGGAATTTTTTTGTCCTGGATGTCACCCATGATTCAACCCATGGCTGTTTGCTGCTGTGGCCTGAGAAGCTTGAGGACAGCTCTCTATGGGGTGGCTTTAAGTTCTGTCCTCATTCAGGATGGACAAGTACTCCTTGCAAGTGTAAACACATTGTGCTTGGGGGAGGGCAGGAAGAGGAGAGGGAGGGTCCTCCCTTGATTAACGCTGGATGACGGTCAGGGCCAGGTCATCTTAAGCCAGTGGCATCATGCTGGAGGAAGCTGGTGTAACTGAGCCATTTCTTTGTCTTTATAAAAACTGATTTGTGCAAGTCCAGCTCTGTTGGCCAAATGCTCAAAAGCCGATGGGTTACAGGAGTACCATAGGAATGCTGAAACTGTGTGAGGAGTACCTGAAGGGGAGAGCAGGTCCCTGTATGCAAGACAAACCATGTAGCATTAGGGTGGTCCACTGCTGACAGCCCTACAGTGCAGGGGAAGGCACCAGGGAAAGAGCCTGCCTGTCCCCAAGTGGGAGATGGCCAATGATACTTGTGTGTAGCAGGACTTGTGCTCTTCCTTAACCGTGCTCACACCCAGTCCCAAATCGCTGGAGCTTATTCTGACCAGCAGAATAAGAGAGACATTTTGTTGGTGCACTTGGCCAGCTCTGACTTGACTGGGGTTCTGCTGAACGTACTAGGGAGGAACCTGGGCTGGTGTATTTAACTTTCTGAGGGCAAGGGAGGAAACCTGAAACCAAGAAACACGGGAGCAAAGGAACTTGGGCAGCTCAGTTGTTAGTCGTAAATGGTGATGTGTCCAGCTCAGCTCAGGCTAATTGGAGCTTCCTTTATAAAGCAATCTAGTTTCCTGATGCTGGCCTGTGACATGTCAAGGTAGGTGTCATCACTGCTGGCCAGCAGCTTCAGTTTTTCCTCAGCTCTGTCTGAGCAACGATAGAAAATGTAAATACTGTAGGTATATTTCTGGGTTTCTCTCAATATACCTTTTCCAACTAAACTGAGCAACTGGCTTGTGTGTGGTTTTTCATCTCGAGTAACTTGCCAGTTGGTTGATGCTAGCTTGAGGAATGCTTGTGATACTATACTGTGAAATACAGAGGAGGCCTTTAGCATCAAGGGCCCAATACATGCTGCGTTTATTGGTACCACTGTTAGTCGCATGCAGTCTGGAGATGGGGTGTGGTCCTGAATTAGGGATTTTGTGGAAGGAAGGAGAAAGCAGGATAATGTGGATGAATCTCATGTAAATCCAAGTCGCTTCACTGAAGTAAGCAGTTGCACTGGCATAAATGGGGAAAAGCAAATCCCTCCGGTAACTGGATTCACACAATGAGGTTCTTTGTGGGTGTACTTTTATTTTTACTTGAAAAGCTGATGTCAGACAATGACATGAAGTTCATTACCAACCTCTGTTGTGCTAAATCATGTCCCTTACCTGAAATGTTCGACCTCCGTTTCTTTGTGAAAAGTATTTTGCACGTCTCTCTTTGCTGCTAGGAAGGAGCCCGTGCCTCTTTCCCACCAGCTGATCAGTGATAAAGATGGAGGCAGGAGCGAAGGATAATTCAGATCCAACTGATCAAACTTGCTAGACAGGGAAGAAAGGAAGAGTGGAGAAAGGCCTGGTTATGCTGTTGAAAGAGCATTTACAGCAATTTTAGTTTTATTAGGGATTAGATTTTCAGCCAGGGTTTTGGCAGCTTACAGGTCCTTCTTCAAGCACATGGCTTTGCCTGAAGGCTTTGTTTAACTTTGCAAAAATGAGCTAATAGTATTCAATAAACTAACAGTCCTGATCCAAGACATCCAGCAAGCACACCGTTTAAATAGAACCAGGAGCACTTTGCTTAGATGAGCTTCTTGCACTCAATCTGGTAAGCAGTGGAACTTGGCTACAATCAGAAAACTGCATCCCAGTGCCCAGTCTGACTCCCCTCTCCCCCCACCCCCATCAGCTCCATCCATGCACACACACATACACTACTTCTGAATTCTTGGCATGATGATCTACTCATTGAACAATGGAGCTGTGATCCCTTACAGAATCTAGACTTCACTTTTTTTAATGCATGTATAATATAGTGTACCGCTTGTCTTTGCAATAATATGGTAGAAGCTTGGTATAACTTTTTTTTACAATTAACTAGACAAAGCCTTCATCATCCAGATGCAACATTTTAAGTCATTTTTTCTTAATGGCAGCTTGAAAAATACCAAACTAAATTTGTGTTGGTAGGCTCCAAGCCCGTTTGCAAAAACAACTGAAGTCCACTGTCGTTGGGCCCAAGTATTGCTCCCCCTCCTTACTGGTGATCTGATCCGTGGCACTAGACCATTGTTACCTGTATTGAGTACTGTTCAAGTCAGTGGCCCTTCTACATCATCATAGGGGACCAGCTGAACAAAATAAAGGTGTGGTGAACTCCCAGGCTGGCTGTAAGCAATAAGCAAAGCATGGAGCCATTAGAGTCCAAGCAGGCTCTGTGACTCTAGGGCTCCCTGAACCTCCCTGCAGTAGCAGCAAGACTACAAGGAAAAGGGTCTGTGGCATGACTACCTTCTCTCTGCTTGCTGAGGGCCTGCTTGTGTGTGTTTGGAGCCACAAATCATTAAGGTTTTTCCTGGTTCAGTCCCTCCTGAAGGCATTCACAGCCAGAAAGATCTCTGGTAAGGGTTTCCTGCTGCTCAGTAGACAGTTGCCAGTCAATCCTCTGACAATCTTAA